CCATACTGGCTGGTCTTGTGGGTGAATTTGACACAAGCTAGAGAGTCATCAGAGAGGAAGGAGCCTCAGTTGAGGAAATGCCGCCATGAGATATAGCTGTTAGACATTTTCTCAATTAGTGATCAATGGGAGAGGGTCCAGCCTGTGGTGGGTAGCGCCACCTCTGGGCTGGTGGTTCTGGGTTCTATAAGAAAGCAGGCTGAACAAGCCAGGGAAACCAGTAAGCAGCACCCCTCCATGGCCTTTGCATCAGCTCCCACCTCTGGGTTCCAACCTTGTTTGAGTTCCTGTCCTGACTTCTTCCAGTGATGGAATATGATCTGGAAGTGTAAATCAAATAAGACCTCTCCTCCCCAAATTGCCTTTTGGTCATGGTGTTTTGACACAACAATAGAAACCCTAACTAAAACAAACTGATACTATTGTAGTGGGGTATTGCTGTGACAGACCTGACCATGTTTTTGGGAGGATTGTGGAAGGACTTTGGAACTTTGGGCTAGAAAAGCCATTGAATGTTAAGAGCTCTGTGGGATATTTTGTGGGATCCTGAAAGATAAGAATGTTGAGAGTGCTGGATGTCGATGGCTTACGCCTTTAATCCCAGCACTCAGGAGGCAGAGCCAGGCAGATCTCTGAGTTCGAGGCCAGCCTGGTCTACAGAGTGAGATCCAGGACAGGCACCAAAACTACACTGAGAAACCCTGTCTTGATACAAACAAACAAATGTTGAGAGCAGTGTAGAAGAGGGAGGCCTAGCTTGTGAATTCTCAGAGGGAAGTTTAAAGACTCTATCAGGGCTTTTTGTTACTTTGAATTAAAATCCTGTGGTTCTGACTAGCTGGGCTGAAGAATCAGCTGTGATTAACAAGCTACCAGAACTACTAAAGTAAAACCTTTACATTACTGAGACAATTGATGCTGGTCAGCTGGAGCTAAGAAATCAGTGGTGATTAAGACAAGACCAGCCCTGTTGAGGTGAAATCTTCTGGGAAGTGTTTCTGAGAGCACAGAGAAGCTGTGTTCCAGAGGTGACCATGGTTGTACCTCCTGTTGGCAGCAGGACTTGGTAATGTGTTAAGAGTCACCCAGGTGGTACTATTTTGAAAGCATGAAGGGGTCATGGAGAGCAGCTGAGGCTTGGTATTGTGAGAGGCCAGAAGAGACCATTGGTGAAGATACAGCCTCAGTAGCATTTGAAGGTCCAAGACTGAAGGAGTTATGAAAAGAAGTTGGGGCTTGGCACCGTGAAGAGAACCTTGAGAGGCTATTGGTCAAAGTGCAGCCCAGTTGTAGCAAGGGACTGCAGCATTTTGGAGATGCCAGTGCCATGGGATGACCACCAAGAACAGCAGCAGCAGTGGAGTGTAGCCAGCTGGAGCCTAGAAGACAAGCTGTGTGTGCTGCAGAGGGCAGAGCTGGAGAAGCGACCCAAGCCCTTTGGAGGAGTCCAGAAGATCGTGAGTGGATCCAAGATAATTGGACATTGAGTTCTTTGTATTGCTTGGTTTAGATTGTGCGGGTGTTCTGGTTCTTTTCTCTTGAAGAAGGTATTTAATTTAATTTTGATTTTTAGAAGAGCTCACAGATGAAAGACTTGAACTTTTAAAAGAGATTGGATATTTTAAAGAGACTGAAATTTTAATACGTTTGAATTGGTAAAGACTGTGGGGCTTTTAAAATTATTTATGATTTTAATGTGAGATCTTAAGGATGAATAAGAAAGGAAGGGTTGTGGCTTGATAGTGGTGTATTTGTGTGTCAAGTTGATAAGGGGTCAGTTGTACTGGCTGGTTTTGTGTGTCAACTTGACACAAACTATAGTCATCAGAGAGGAAGGAGTCTTAGTTGAGGAAATGCCTCCATGAGGTCCAGCTGTAAGGCATTTTCTCAATTAGTGACTGGTGCGGGAGGGCCTAGTCCATGGTGGGTGGTGCCATCCCTGGGCTGGTGGTCCTGGGTTCTTTAAGAAAGCAGGCTGAGCAAGCCAGGGGAAGCAAGCCAGGAAGCAGCACCCTTCCATAGCCTCTGCATCAGCTCCTGCCTCCAGGATCCTACCCTGTTTGAGTTCCTGTCCTGACTTCTTTCAGAGGTGAACAGCAATGTGGAAGTGTAAGCTGAATAAACCCTTTCCTCCCCAACTTGCTTTTTGGTCATGGTGTTTTGATGCAACAATAGAAACCCTAACTAAGACACATGCTAATAAAAGGGAACTAAAGAAAATTCAAGTCATAATAGAGTAAGAAAGATAATCCCAAGAATAACAAGATAAAACCATAAATGAAAATACATGCCAAAATGACTCAAAATGTATTAATAATTAAAATTTCTACATGTCTTGGTGCTCTCCAAATGTGATAATTAGGTCACTACAGTTCATTGAACTTACTGTTTCTTTGTATTTTATTTTTTGGTTAATATAAAAAAACTTGCCAGGAGATATGGCATCTGTCTTTAATCTCAGCACTTGGGAGGCAGGGGCAAGCATATCTCCAAGTTCAAGGCCATCTTGGTCTACAGAGTGAGTTTTATGACAGCTAGGGCTGTCTTGAAAAACAAAGAAACAAGACAAAGAAAGAAAAAAAAACAAAAATAACATAGAAAAGAAATCGTATTGCTCTTAATTTCATATATATTTATTTATATGAGTGTTTTGCTTGCATGTATGTCTATGCACTAAGTAAGGGCCTGGTGCCCAAGGATATAGGGGAAGGCAATGGGTCACCTAGAACTAGAGTTATGGACAATTGTGAGCTGCTATAAGAATGCTGGTTAATTGAACCCTGATCTTCTGTAAGAACAAGTGCTCTAAATGGCTAAGCCATCTCTCCAGCTCCAAGAAAACTTATCTTATATGCCTTGTGCAAAAACATGATCAAAAGTCTAATAGCAAACTGGGGAGACCTGCCTTCTACAATATGTAAAGAGTTCCAAGACATCGATATGAAAAATGTCCAGTTCTTCACATGCTGTCTGTTATTATTCTGGATAATAAAATTCACAAACGAGAAATCTTACAAAAGAGGGTGGGGGCTGAAATCCTCCCTGTATTATCAGTAAATGCAAACTCAAAAGAGGGAAAGACACATTTTAAACATAGCTGCAGCGCAATCAAAGACATAGAATTGTGTTGACCTTTGGAATAGCAATTCTACCACAAGTAAATTAACATAGCATTCAAAACACTGAATTTTTTTTTTTTTTTTTTTTAAGATTCACTTATTTATTATGTATGCAGCATGTATGACTACAGGTCAGAAGAGGGCACCAGATCTCATTACAGATGGTTGTGAGTCACCATGTGGGTGCTGGGAATTGAACTCAGGACCTCTGGAAGAGCAGTCAGTGCAGTCAGTGCTCTTAACCTCTGAGCCATCTCTCCAGCCCAAAGTTTTTTTTTTTTTTAAAGAAGCTTTTTCTAATGGAGAACTATTTCAAATGTCCTCAGAATGGGGGATTACTCATAAAATAAAAAGAAATATTTATAAATGAATTTTCAGGAAAATATCTGACATGAGAAATATGCAGAAAATTTGATTTAGTTTTATATAATATATATATATATATATATATATATATATATATATATATATATATATATATATATCTGGATAAAGAGATGGTTCAGTGGGAGAAGTGCTTGCTGAGGAAGTGTGAGGAGAGAATTCAGATGTCCAGCACCCATATAAAAATCCAGGCGTGGAGGTAGTGCCTCAGTAACTCCACATGGGGTGGGGTGCGGGGTCAGGGGAGTCGAAACAAGGCGGAGAGTGGTAAGGAAGACACACACGGGAAGTCAGCTTCGTTGACGAGCAAGGCACGCGTGCACACACACAGCTCCTTCTTTAACTAAAAAATAAAATTCATACCTAGAAAAAAGGTAAATAAGAGAGTCTCCAACAACGTCTGCACCTGCACCGTGATGACCTGGAGTGGTGGGGGGATTTAGGGGAGACCCCCTCTCTTACTTAGCTTGTCTGTCATATACATTTTTTTCAATTAGCATACATTCTGTGGGAAAATGTTTAAATGGTCGTTTAAAAAGTTGGCAGCCGAGCACGAGCAGATAAAATAGGCTGCCCTCTTTGTATGTCCGCCACCCCTTCACAAAGGAGGGATGTTGTTGTGCTGACAGCCCTGAAGACCACTCAATCTCATGTGGCAAATCCGTGCGCGGTCAGAGGCGAAGCAAGGGAACTGGAAAACACAACCAGCGCCCATGTGTTCTCTCCCGAGCCCGGGGGCCACAAGCACAAGCGGCTTCTGGGCCAAAGCGAGCGACATGCCCACTGGCACAAACGTGACAGTCGTATTTTTGTCCACAGATTTACAAAAGGGGGAACCAGCCCTGGAAAACCCCCCTCTTGCTTTTTTGCACAGTTAATTCCTCAGGGAACTTCAGGCTGGGGTGCGGGGTCGTGTTCCATTTGGATGGTTTTCTCATGAATAGCGTGGAGGCCAAAGAAAGTCCGTAACTGATCGGCCCCTTCGGAGCGGGACATGCTATCAAGACTTTTTTCTTTTTGCTTTTTTCAGTTATTTTCTTTTAAAGTGCAGCCGCGCTGTGATATGATACCGCCCTGTTGCAGGGCAGTTCTCTGCTGTTCCAGCCAAGCCTCTCCTGGACCCGGGAGTGAAGAATAGCAACCAGATTAGCATGGAGGGACCAAGTTTGCATTTGCATCTGAAAGTGCCCGCCACAAACAGCTGAGGCAGCATTTATGCACAGGGAGAGAGGACTTGAATACACCCTTGAGGTTGGTCTGTCTGAGATCTCTACCTCCCTGAGAGAGAATTCTGGACTTAGTCCTGACACTGCCCTTCCAGAGAAGTAGCCCCATCATAGAAGAAATATCCTATTCATTTGGGAATCACAATACATTTTTCAGTTCTGCAATCTCTCCAGTTACTTTGTCTCCCCTTCCTGCTGCGTTTCTTCCTGTCTGTCACCAGAGAGGGGGTGTGGTCTCCAGCCTTTATTTCATCATTTGAAAATGTGTGAGGGGGCACAGTCCATGAAACTGTACAGATCACATCTCTCTGGCCCTGGGAATCCTATCAACGTTTCCCTCCCAGATGTCCTTATTCTGTGAGTTCTCTGAATTAGTCCTCTACAGGACTCTTTCTTATGGGGCTGAGGGGTGGGGGTGGGGGAATAGCCAGGCAAAAGAATGGAATTCTACTTCCTTCTCAGGAAAGGAAAGAGGTTCAAATTGTAAATGTTCCCAGGCTTCTCATGGGACTTCAGGGAAGACAAAATTGCATAATCTCACAAAAATGTGAGCAGCAACCCTCGCCTCTGTCGGCCCTGATAATATACAGTCGGGGGATTAGAGAGACCCAGAAACACATGTGCTATTTCCTGACCTGAGCATAATTAAAGATCTTCATTGCAGAGTTTAAGTGCCTCAAGACCTGAGAACTCCAGGCGTGGGAAATGTGGATTTGCCACGGTGGGATCCTGCTGCATCGCAGCTCAGGTTTGTAAGAGCTATGGGGAAAACATCCCACCCTGCAGACTGCACAAATGCATACTGCAAACCTTGCCCATGGTGCCCACAGAGACTGCCCCAATGGTGGAAGCAGCTTCTAAGCCATTGCTGTTTAATAGATTTCCTCTAACCTAAAGCTGATTGCTTGATATTCAACTCTTTTCATTTGTTTGTGCTTAAAATGTATTGATAAGTTGCTGTTGATCAATAAGGCTGGACTAAGAGCAAAACTGTCAGGCCTGGGACTCTCAATAGCTGCTCCCAAGGCCTTGGTTATACTTACTGTTCCAGTGGAGACCCAGCCTGACCAATAGGAAGAATGGAGCCTGGCCTGGCCCCCCGGAAAGGAAGGTTCTATAGGAAGCGGGGCTCTATTAAATTGAGTGATGACTTATTGGAGCCATACATGGGACATGTAAAGATAAATGGGATGGGATGTAATCCTTGACCTCAGGATTGTCACAGTTCAGTGCCAGGTGTGGTGGCATGTCTTTAAGCGCCCTGGAGACTGAGGCAGTGTTAGCAATGAACTTCTGAAGTATTGTGACCGAACATGTGGCAGAACACAGCTTAAGGGAGCGAAGGCTGCTTTTGATTCGTGGCTTTAAAGGGTCTCAGTCCCCATCATGGGGAAAGGGCTCTGTCTGCAGTGACAGGGGTCTGTTCACACCATGCTTACCAGGAAGCAGACAGAGCAGGGGCTAGAACCCCGGGGCTTCTAAGACTCACCCCTAGTAACATCTTTTCTCCTGCCAGGAGGGTCCTACACCCTACAGGCTCTTCATCTTCAAGGCTCCACAGCCTTTCAGTGTTCAAAACCTGAGTCTGTTGGGGACATTTAAGATTCTAACAGGGAATAGAGGAACACCAAGGCCTCATAGTGAGTTCAAGGCCAGTATGAGCTACACAGTAAGACCTTGTCTCTCCTACTCAAAAGAAGGTCACAATCCAATGGGGAGAATATATAAATGGACAATTAGTATTATGAAAACTATTTCTATACACTAACTTTAGGAATAGAGGAAGGCCTTCAAAAGTCCTTTGGCAAAAAATCATGGTCCAAAGGGAACTTAGCCTGAGTCAGTGCAGGAATCTCTTTCTCCCAGCCCCTAATTTAATGGTGTCCAAAAATAGGCAGGGTAACCCCTAGGAGAGGCACAAAATAATCATACAGACACAAAGTAAAACATTGTAAAATGTTTATGCTTTTCATTGTATCCTACATGTTACTGTTTTTTTAGAATGTAATTTGTAACATAAGGATGGTTCAGTGTTTGTCATTTACAAAAGTACCTTGTTGAAGGTGCTTGTTTAAAGGGTTCTATGCTAGAGTATGAACACTTGCAAGCTCTAAGTCCTCTGGGGCTCTTGGATCTACTGTCTTGAGGTGCATGGTTCTGGACCATTGTTGCTTAGCTTTTGAGCAGTTTTGCTGTCTCCACAAGTCTATCCTCACTCATCCATCACCCATGCTCAGCAAAAGCAGGCCCTGCCTGTCCCTGGCAGCCTTCCTCTTTGGAAGACAGTCTCCAGCCTGACGATGTTTTTCTGCCCTTATGCCACAGGTGCAGAAGGTGGCAGACACCTAGACTCCTGACGTAACTTGCCCGGAATCAGAGAGTGTGTAATATTAATGTGCTATCAGAAACAAACAGCAGAAAGCAAGTCGGAGGTTATAACCCAGTGGTGAAGCGACTGCTACCATGGTCAAGGACTTGGGTTCCTTCTCCAGCCTCACAAACAAAGCAGAACAACCCTAATTTGGATATGCTGCACTGGTCAGAAGTTAGCCAAAGACTTCAGCGGCAGAGCAAAACATGACAAAATCTATTACTACAAGATCATGAAAGCCCCCAAACTAATGCAAGGGGGACAAATGAATCGCCATGTACAAGTCATGGTTACTGGTGGGATTTCAAAATCATGTGGTCCTGAGTTAAAGTCCTCCCCCTCCCCCTCTGAGCTCTAAGCATGACTGGACTCACTGGAGCTGCAAGGAGTACAAACTCGCTCTTGCCAACACAAACTCTACCAGGGAGGGGGTATTTTTATAAGGACAACAGTGCTGTTCAGAGAATGAGAAGAAGAGCTGGAGCTTGGCCCACTCCAGAGATCTTGGCAGGATGCTCAGCATCCTGCGTCTTGAGGACACTTCGCTCAGACAACCCAGCTCCTGATGGCATTTGAGTTCTGGGCTGCAATCTCCACTCAGAACGCAAGTTTTCAGAGTAGCGCTTCTGACTGGCCTGTCTAGGATGTGTACTTTATCTGTGGACTGTAGACAGAGCTGAGACTTACAGACTAGGAGAAAGGTTGATTCTCTGAGGAAGGAAAGCAGAGCCGACCAAAACAAATCAGATCTATTATATTATCTTTCAGTTATCTCATCATGGAAATGGACATAAAAACACAGATCTGGTAGGACTGTTTTGAAGATGAATGGAACAAGGAGATGTTTGCCAAAGTGCACACCACAAGACCTGGCCCTTTCTAAGTGATAATGGCAGCCATTGTTATGACTTGTATGGGATGAATCATATGACACCTTTAAAAGATCTGACTCTATCTTCTGTAGGCATGGATTTGAGTCTGGAGTTCTCCCCAGGACACATTTGCCTAAATATCGATGGTGAAATGAATAGACATTTGGATGGAAATGTGATAATTACTTTAGCAAGAAATTTGTTACATTTGTCCCTCTTTGTGCATGGAGTCCCCTCCCACTGCTCTTTATACTCTTCACATACTGCCTCTGTGTGTGTGTGTGTGTGTGTGTGTGTGTGTCTGTGTCTGTGTGTCTGTCTGTCTTTGTGTATATCTGTGTGTTCAGGTAAGCATGCACAAGTGTGCAAGTGCATATGGAAGCTAGAGGACAACCTCATGTGTCATTCTTTAGGAGCTGCCCTTGAAACTCACCTGTCATCGAGTTTCTCTGTCCACCCCATCCCACAGCCACTTCCAAATATTCACTCAGAGGCTTATATTAATTGTAGATGCTTGGCTGATGGCTCAGGCTTATTAATAACTAGCTCTTATATTTAAATTAATCAATTACTATTAATCTATACATCAACACATGGCCCGTGGCTTACCTGTCCTTAACATCCTGCTTCCTGGGCAGCTGCTTGAGGCTGCCTCGACTCTGCCCTTCTTCATCTCAACCTCAGTTTGATTGTATAGCCTCATCTTATCCTGTCTCGACATTGGCCAAACAGCTTTATTTTCAACCAATGAGAGCAACACATATTCACAGTGCACAGAAGGACTATCCCACAGCACTCACCAATTAGAAGATCCTCTGGGACTGGCCAGTGACTCCCAGGGACATGACCTCCCCAGAACTTGGATTATAAGCACATGCTACCAGGACTGGCTTTTCCTTCTCATGTGGTTCTCAGATGTTCATGAGGCAAACATAAGAGAAAGCTAGTACCCTGAGACCCTACTTCTTTTTGCTTATTTGTATCTTCCTCTTCTAATGATTCATTTGGCAACCTAGTTCTTTCCCTTATATTTTGCTTGCATGTGCTATGTGCACAGCACTCCTCTCCAAATGATGCACCTTGAAATCTCAAGACTCCTCTAGAACCTGCTTCAGGCTATATGGACCCCTATCTCTGAACAGTAGTAGAGATTTTTCTACCCTTAGTAACAATCAAGGTTAGACTGTTTCTATTCAAGTGTATTCTCAGTATATCTAGGCAAGAAGACTAGAAAGGTCCATCTAGCCTGAATTGATATTAGGTACATGTAAGATAAACCAGGTCCTTCAAGGGATCGTCTAGAGATAATCCCCTATTTACTTTATTATTATCATCTATGCATAATTGGGCATGCATATGATTAAGATCAAATATACTATGAGAGGGTCATGTGTAATAGGAAGAATAAATATATGACCTAATGTATCAAAATAGAGAACCACCCAAGTAATAAATAACCTTCAATAACAAGCCTTTACTTTCTTCAGTCTGGGGCCCTTGCCTGTCTTCACTCAAGTGCCTCCTGTCAATCTTGAGTGAATCCTTCTGCAATCTTATTGTTTTCCTCCAAATGAAGTTCATCTTGCTTCTTTTGCAAATCTGTGAACTGTTATTTTCGACTCCTTGAATAAAAGGCCAAGAACCTGGAAACACCTGGCCCAGATGCAGACATGGATGACACCCATGGAGCATTTACTGATGGAGCTACCTTCCAGCCCCTTCTTGTCCATAGTCTCAAGAGCTATGATTTCAAATGAAACTTTGCAAACCATATTAGAAAAATTAAAATACAGCCCCTTCCAAATCGCTTCCCCTCCATTGGCTCTTCCCACAGTCTCCTCATTCTCCTCATGGGTTCTCAGAATTCTCCAAGAGCATGTGGTTTGTGAAGGAAGAGGCAGTCCTGCCTTTGAGGATTAGCTACGTCAGACAGAGAAATGTCAGCATGGCACCCAGCATCCAGTCAATGTTGTAAAGAGTCAAACCCACAGACAAGTTCAGTCATCACACTGAACAGGATGCAAGTTTGTGAGTCACATTCATGTAGCCTTAGATTTGGCATTAGCTTGCTCCAGGGTTGATTAAATAGTCTCCAGTTGTACAACTATTGTTACCAGAAGATTTGGAGTTCGTGGTAACCTCATGTTACCAAAGAAATAGGGGTCCCTTGTTGGAGTTCTTGGTCTCATCAACAAAGAATTTAAGGAGAGACTTTGAAGGAAGCTCCAAGACAATTTTATTAGCATTTAAAAGTAAAACTCCAAAGCAGGCAAACTGTAAATCCTGGCAGCTGCCTGGGCAGAGGAGAAGGAGCTAAGGGAGGAAGAAGGCCAGGTCATTTGAGTAAAGGCACCAGCAGGGAGGTGAGACACCTGGGAGACAGGCGGCTACGTGGCGCGATGAGGAGAGCTTTCTCAGTAATTTAGAGATGTGGGTAGACTTACAGAGCTGCATGGCGGCGGCAGCTCCAGGCAGTTGCCGTGGGAGTGGGGTGGGAGGCTTGGGGGGGTCAGGTAAGGAAAAGAACATTATCTCATGAAAGGGGCAATTATTCCTCCTGTCTCTTTAGCAGGCTTAAGGTGGCTCTGTCTTCTGGACACGTTCCTGAAAGGACCCCATCTCTGCTCTGGCAGCATTTATATCTCCCGCTGATTAACACTGCACGGCGCTAATCAGTGCCCCAGGACATGGTATCCCAGAACAGTCAGTCTCTGGAGAGAGAAAGAGCCTTGAGGTAGTAACAGTTAAAGGACTAGTTAAGTTCAAGATGACCAGAAAAATGTTCAGACAAGGTCGGTCTCAGTGAGCCTGCTCCAGATGCAAAGTAAGCAGATGGCTCTTGCATGCAAATTGGGGTGGGACCTCCACATATGTGGGTAAGAATCCCGCTGACCAAGCAAAATGGGAATCTGGCGTGATGAGGTGGGTAATTAAAGCAACAGGCTCTTTTTGTTTGGTTGATCTGAGAACTTCAGAAAGGTCTCACAGTGTCAGCTTCAGCAAAGCAGCTCTTTGATCTGGGCTTCTCCCAGCTGAGTCTAGCAAAGTCTCCCTCCCCCTCCCCCTCCCCCTCCCCCTCCCCTTCCCCCTCCCAGTAACCCTTTGCCTGGAACAGTCTACCTCCCCGCCCTATTTCACCCACTCACTGAGTCCTTCAAAACAGACCAACAATATCCCACACAGACATCCGGGGAGAGGCCAGAGAGTTCTTCTCCTCCTCCCTCTCAGACGGTTAAAAATAAACCACTTTCGCCAGACGTTGTACATGTCAGAAATCCTATTGACAAGTAGCTCATTGTATATGTGGGGCGGCTGACAAGGAACTGGTGTCTTCCTGTCTGAAAATTAGGCAGATATTTAGGGCAGTGGCTTTTAGCCATTAGGTCACTGGAGAGGATAGAAGAGTTTTAATAAATGTTGTGAGCAAGCCCCAGCTGCAGCCAGTTTAAGCCAAGATAAATGCATTGTACATGTACACAATGCATGCATACCTATGTGTGTGTTTGACAGATAAAGTGTTTAAGAAGTTCTTCAAGTAGCAGAACCCAGGTACATATAACGTATGATTTGATTACGGCATGTGTCTTGGACACAGCCTTGGGGACATGCATTGGTTGTATGAATCACAGTAAACATACGAAGGCCGTGTTTAAAGGATAATCTAAGACGTTGGCTGGAATATCCAGCACCATACATCTTTGCTTTACAGGGAGCTAACCATCCAGATGGTTTCCACAATGTGTCTGCAGAAGACACAAACATGTCCCCAACCTTCCTTTGATATCTCGTCGTGGGTGTCCATAATGTGGCCAGATCTCTACTTGATGAATCTTCTTTCTTATCACTTCTTCACCAGCCTTCTATTTGTATGTCTTACAGCACAAATGAATGAACATTTCAATGTGTACAAGACATTTGTGAGGATGCCGGGGTCAAGCGCTGGACCTGAAGATCTTCTAACTTTCCCAAGACCTGGAGTGGAAGAAACTGTAGATATTGGGAGTCCCAGTGAGAGGTCATTATTTCCGCCCCCCCTCTACTGAATGCCCTCCCCCACACCACCCCTCCTCCCCACAGAGTTGAGCCTTGTTCAACATACTGACACCACTGGACACTGCTAGCAAAGGTGAGGACCCAGCCTCATGCCCAGGAGTCAGACAGAGTGCCATGAGCTGGTGTCACTTTAAACGCCATTTTAAACAAGCAGATCCAGAGAGTTAGCGGTTCGATTCTCCAGTTGAGGTTGTGACAACACAGGTTTCATCCTCCTCAACGGCTAACACCTGAATTGTTCTGCTGACCACGACACAAACTCCCTACTTGTCAGGCCACCCCTCTCCAAGGGCAGAGGGAGCCTACATGCAATCAACTCTGGCCTACTGACCTACTTTCCACGTTCCCACTCAAAACTCAGCTCCTCCCTTTCTCCAAACACCTAACACTATGACCTGCATTGAAGGGGGTCAGAGGGGACTGCAGTGAATGAAGGTGCCATAATTACTGGAGGAAAATACAATGTCAATGTTTGTTTTTGTTTGTTTGTTTGTTTGTTTGTTTGTGTTGAGAGAGCATCCCTCTATGTAACTCAGGCTAACCCAGAACTAATGGTGCTCGACCTCGACCTCCTGAATGCTGAGATTATTGGTGGACCTTTGTGTATGTGTTTTAAATTTATTTACTTATTTATTTTATGCATATGGGTGTTTTGTCTGCATGAATGTCTGTACACCTTGGTTTGGTGCCCAAGAAGGCCAGAAGAGGGTGTCAGATCCCCTGGCATTATAGTTACACATGGTCCAGGTTCTTTGGAAGCGAGCAGGCAGTACTCTGAAACACTGAGCCCTTGTTCCAGCCCAAGCCTTGAGTTTTTGTTTTATTTTGTTAAAAACACATACTAATATGTCTGGTGATGCATGTTTGTAACCCCAGAACTTAGGAGGCTGAGACAGGAGGATTATGAATTTGAGGTCAGCCTGAACTATTTTTTATTTTATTTTATTTATTTATTTATTTATTTATTTATTTATTTATTTATTTATTTTGCTTAATAGCTCTTTTTTAAAATTTATTTATTAAATTTAATTTTACATATCAGTCACGGATTCCCTTGTTCTCCCCCCTCCCACCCCCTGCCTTCCCCCCACCCCACCCCCATTCCCATCTCCTCCAG